ATGATTATTCAAGGAAAATTTGGGCTTTTCTACTAAAAATTAAAGATCAAGTTCTAGAAGTATTTAAGCATTTTCAGGCCATGGTTGAAAGAGAAACAGGGCAGAAATTGAAGTGCATCCAATCAGACAATGGTGGTGAATACATTGGGCCATTTGATGAGTATTGTCGCAGCCAAGGTATTCGGCACCAAAAGACAGTTAAGAAGACTCCTCAACAAAATGGCGTTGCTGAGAGGATGAACCGCACCATTATGGAAAGAACAAGGTGTTTGCTTTCACAAGCTAAATTGCCAAGATCCTTTTGGGGTGAGGCAATGAGGACAGCGGTTGATGTGATCAATTTGTCTCCTTCCTATCCTTTGAATGGTGATGTTTCAGAAAGAGTTTGGATTGGTAAAGATGTGTCTTATGAGTTCTTGAGAGTGTTTGGTTGCCGAGCTTTTGTTTACATTCCAAAGGATGAGAGGTCCAAGCTTGATGGTAAGTCAAGACAATGTATTTTTCTTGACTATGCGCGTGATGAATTTGGGTATAGATTGTGGGATCCGGTCGACAAGAAAGTCATTCGAAGCCATGATGTTGTGTTTCTTGAAGACCAAACAATTGAAGACTTTGGCAAAGGTGATCAACCGGAGCCAAAAACTACTGATCTCATTGACATGGATCCATCTCCTTCATCTTCGATGGATGATGAAAATGGGGGAGATGTGCAGCCACCCATTGAAGATGTAGAGGATGATGCTAATCCTAATGAAGTTAAGGCAAAAATTGAGGAAGAGCATCCAACTCAAGAACCGCCACCATAACTTGAGTTGAGAAAATCTACAAGGGACCGACAACCTTCAAGAAAGTATCCTCCCAATGAATTTGTGTTGATTCCCAATCAAGGGGAGCCTAAGAGTTACCAAGAAGCAATTGAGCATACAAAGAAAGATGACTGGAAAAAGGCAATGGAAGAGGAGATGAATTCCTTACTTGAAAATCACACTTATGATTTAGTGAAGTTGCCTAAGAAGAGGAAAATTCTAAAAAATAAGTGGGTTTTTAAATTAAAGAATGACGGCAAGAATCTGAGGTACAAAACACGTCTTGTTGTGAAAGGCTTTGGGCAAAACAAAGGTATTGATGTTGATGAAATTTTCTCGCCAGTTGTGAAGATGTCTCCTATTCGGGTTGCACTTGGCATGGCTACAAGTATGAACCTTGAAGTTGAACAACTTGATGTGAAGACCGCATTTCTTCATGGTGATCTTGAAGAAGAAATTTACAGGGAGCAACCAGAAGGTTTTATGGAGAAAGGAAAAGAGAAATTTGTTTGTAAATTGAAGAAAAGTTTGTATGGTCTCAAGCAAGCTCCGCGGCAATGATACAAAAAATTTGACTATTTCATGATGAATAATGGTTTTTCAAAAATCACTCCGAACCATTGTGCATTTGTGAAAAATTTTTCGGATGGAAAATTTATTATTCTTTTGCTTTATATTGATGACATGTTAATTGTGGGTCAAGATTCTACCATGATTAACAGGTTGAAATTGGAGTTGAGCAAGTCTTTTGCTATGAAATATTTGGGACTGGCAAAGCAAATACTTGGTATAAAAATTGTTCGTGATCGCAAAGAGGGGCTGATTTGGTTGTCTCAAGAAAGCTACATTAATAAAGTTCTTGAGAGGTTTAACATGGATAAAGCAAAGCCGTTGTCCACTTGCGGGTCACTTCAAGCTTAGTTCAAATCAATATCCTACAAGTGAGAAAGACAAAGAAGAGAGGTTGAAAGTTCCTTATGCTTCAACAGTTGGTTCTTTGATAGACGCCATGGTTTGTACAAGGTCGGATATTGCTCACGCTGTTGGTGTGGTGAGTTGTTTTCTCTCTAATCCGGGTAATGAACATTGGGCAAAGGTAAAATGGATTCTGAGGTATCTTCGAGGGACTTTGAAGGTGTGTTTGTGTTTTGGGGATGGTAAGCCAATGCTTGATGGGTTCACAGATTCTGACATGGCTAGTGATGTTGATTCTAGGAAATCTACTTCGGGGTATTTGATGAATTTTGCAGAGGGAGCTGTGGCATGGCAATCTAAATTACAAAAATGTGTTGTTCTCTCAACTACCGAAGCTGAATCTATTGCCATTACGGAAGCTTGTAAAGAAGAGTTATGGTTGAAGAAATTTTTGTAAGAGTTGGGTTTGAAGCAAGAAAAGTATGTGCTTTATTGTGATAGTCAAAGTGCTATTCACTTGAGTAAAAATTCTTCTTTTCATTCGAGATCGAAACACCTTGATGTGAGATACCACTGAATTCGTGATGTGTTAGATTCGAAACTGTTACAACTCGAAAAGGTTCACACAGACGATAATATTTCGGATATGTTGACAAAGACTTTGTCACGGGACAAACATTTGAAGTTTCGAACTTTGACGGGTATGGTTGATGTCTTCACCTAAGTCGATAGGGGGAGAATTGTTGGGATATATCTCCTTATTGGAGTTTATTGGAGTTTGAGACCTAATTGGTTTGTTAAAGAATTTTAATTTGGTTTGATTTAGGTATAATATATTTTAATATATTATATCTAATTTTTTGGAGACCTAATTCAGTTTGATAACAATTAGGGTTTTGATAAAACAAGCTCAAGATTTAATAATATATATATATATATTTACGAGGTGCCGCAGAGAGAAACTTTTCTTCTTCGGTGGTGCTTTTTCGGACTCATGCTTGGAAATCTTTCTTGATTTTTCAATCTTTGGATGCTTTAAAGAATTGTCAATGCGTTCAGCTGATTTGGTGGTGTGTTCAGCTGATTTGAGTTAATTATTTTGGGTCTTCTATAACTCTGGTTCTGAAGATTTTGGTTCATCTATTTGATGAAGTCTTTCCTCTTTATTTATTTGTGATTATTTAGAATTCATTGTGTAGAATTCATCTAAGGGTGGTTTTGTGAGACCATTCGTGTCTCGTTTGTAATCGTTTGAAAACTATTTGTTTGAAAACTATTTGGTTGATACCATTCGTGTCTCGTTTGTAATCGTTTGAAAACTATTTGATTGATAGTGGAATCGGATTTCGATCCCGTGAACGTACCTCACATTGAGGGAACCACGTAAAAATTCTTGTGTTGCCTTTGATTTAATTTTTTCGCATTAATTTTTATTCCTATTGATCGATTTACTTATGAAGAATCATTAATTTTCCCTACCACTATCAAAATCGTAGATTTCAATTTTTTCAATCTCTACAAACCCTAGATCAGATGTGGGAAACACAAAGAAATTGATGAACCAGATCATGGAGCTCAAGTTCACATCGAAGAGCCTCCAATGCCAATCGAATAAGTGCGAGAAGAAAGATAAAGCAAAAGAAACTCAAATTCAAGAAAGTGATCAATAATATGGGCGGCGCTCGAATCTTACACCAATAATGCTATCTGAAAGCGCTGTGATGAAATGCAGATAAAATAAAACTTTTTTTTTCCTTACCCAAAATGAAACTAAAATCTGGTTCATATTTGATAATAGTTAAGAGAATTTCAATAGTTTGAGCAATTTAAAGTAATTTTGTTATTAGGATGTAGCTGCCAATCTCAGCCTCCTAAAATCCCTAACGTTTGAATTTGAAAGCTGAAGAAACTGCTCCGTTGAGGAGATAAAACGAAAATGAATTGAGGGTTTACATCAGTTTGGAAAGTGGGATTTTAACTCAATTTAGGTTAAAATTCAACCAAAAAAAATAAAATAAAATAGGTTAAAATAATTAATAAGATAAAATATCACATCAAATTTATAATCATTTTACTTTTTTTTCTTATAAATATCACATCCAACTACAAAAAAAAAAAATTTAATCATATTTTTAAATACAAAAATTTTAACATAAGATAATCAAAAATTAAAATAACTACTAAAGTAATAACTTTTCAGACACTCACATTGTAGAGAGGTTTAGAGTGTGTTTGGTTTGATTTTGAGAGAAAAATTTTCAAAAAAAATCTTAAGGAAGGAGTTTGGGGTTGTTTGGGATGTGGGTTTGGGATTAAAATAGTCACAAAAAATAAAATAGGTTTTTTAGTTCCAATAAGATAAAACATCACATCTAATCATAATCATAACATTCGTTCTCTTACAAAAAAGTTAAAAAAGCTTAAAGCCTTTTTCAAACTAGACTTTTTAGCCCCACGCTAATATAGCAAAAAAAAAACCAACCCACTTCCCAAACCAAGCCTTTAGAATTTTTTTTGATTTGTTTGGTTGTATATTTTGAAAATAGTTTTGAAGTGTGTGAGTTCGTTTGGCAAGTTGGGTTAGGGACTTTTTTGGCTATTTTAGTCACAAAAGACAAAATAGGCTATTTTAGTTACAAAAAATAAAATATCACATTCAACCCATAATCATTACACTCTTCTCTCACAAAAAAAATCAAAAAAAATCAAAAAGCCAAAAAGCCCTTCTCAAACCAAGCTTTTTAGCCCAGGTTAAAATAGCCGAAAAAGTCAAAAAGTCAATCCACTTCCCAAACCAATCCTAAAATGATTTGATATTTTATTATAATTAAGTAGATGTATGTGAGAGAAAAAATGGTTGAGAATGAGAGATGAGAGATAAAAAGTGATTAATTGATATGTAGAAAATAAAACGAGATTTTGAATTTTTTTTTTCTAAAATCACTAAACCAAACAAAATTTTAAAAAATTTCTCTAAAATTTATTTCTCAAAAACAAATCAAACAAGACCTTAAAATCTGGATTTAAATTGTTAAAATTGAACTGTGAGACTTAATTTACATAACATATAAAGTTCTGGAATTTTTTTATGTAATTTGTCCTAGATTATGATTTTTATTTTTTATTTTTTATTTTTTTTAACAATGGCAGCATAATTCAGTAATTTGACCGAAAATTTAGGGCAATAAGAATTTTATTTTTTATTTTTTTATACAACGGAAAGAAGATGGCAATAAGAAAGATTAATCCTAGATACCTTCAAAATTTTATCAAATATGTAAAATTTACAGTGTGAATTCTATATTCAAATAAAACATTAGTAGGGATCTCTAATATTTTTCCAATAAGAAATGCCATAGCCATTTTATCTACTGCAGTCTGCAACCGATTCTCTCTCTCTCTTGGTAGCCAATCGAACCAACCAACTTCCACTGACACCGTCTCTCTCTCTCTCTCTCTCTAGTCTGAAAACGCTGTGCTCCTGCTCGATATGATTCTCCCACAAATCTCTCCCACTCTAAGCTAAGAATATTTACATCTACATGTTATTCCGTTATATATTAGGGCTAGGGTTTCTCCCACTTTCAAATCAGTTCTTCATCAATCAATTTTTATTTTTATTTTTATTTTTTGATTACTCTTGCAAATTAGGGTTTTGGAATTAGGAACTTTCAGTTTCGTTTCGTTCTCTGAGACCATGAAGGTTCACCCAGCCCCGAAGAAGCGAAACATCACGATACGATACAACATCGCTTCGACCTTCTCCCAAGCGAACGCTCTCGCTTGCCGACAGAAGAAGCTCCGGCGCCTCCCTCACATCTTCGCCAAAGTCCTCGAGCTTCCTTTCCACTCCGACGCCGATGTTTTGATCGATGAGACCTCCGATTGTTTCCGATTCGTAGTCAACACCGACGATATCGGCGATGACATCAGGGCTCAGACGATTGAGATCTACCCTGGGGTTACGAAGATCGTCATCAGAGGAACCAACGTTCTTGATTTGTCCATGGACGAATTGGAGCTTGACATGTGGCGTTTTCGACTTCCGGCGTCGACTCGGCCCGAGCTTGCTAGTGCTGCGTATAATGATGGACAGCTGGTGGTGTTGGTGCCGAAAGATGCGAATTTTAATGGGTTGGATGTTGTTGATCGTGAAGAAGAAGTTTGGGGTGAAGGGAATGGTGATATCGGAGCGGGACGGCTTGTTCTTGTACAGTAATTCGATATACACCCTCTCTTGATTTTCAATTTCTGTTGGTTGAGAAAAGTTCAGTTGTCGTGTTTGAAGTTTTTATCTTGGAATGGAATGTGTTCTGAACAATTTTAATGTTTCAATGAAGAATTGCTTTTCGTTATATATATAATATGTGCTTCTAAATCTTGAATCTTGTTCAATTTGGTTCCAACGAGTTCTCTGATATATATAAAATTGAAAAGAAAAGAAAATTGCACAAAGTTTGTATTGAAACATGCAGTAATTTCAAATTATGATTATTTGATTTGCAACAAACTTATGGTCGGTTGAATTAGTTGCACATAATTTGTGCATAAGAAGGCTAAGTTGTACCATTATATTTTTTGGCTGATATGAAAGTAGTGATGAAAGCAGGAGCACATTAGAAATCATTTTGATTTGAATTCAACTTTGTAACTCAGTTAGGGTTATTAAACCTCTTGATGTCTATCAGGTTCCATGTTTTTTATCGTCTCGTACGATGTTTCAATTGGGTCCCGTTTCTAAGTCTTTTGATGGTTGTCGTCACTGTTCCTCATGGACATCATGTCGGTGCTTCAACTTATCATTATTGGCTGTAAGTTTCTTGTATTGAATTGCCAGCTATGTTTTACAGTACAGAATTTCCTATGGAGATGCGAATCTCCCTGAATTTCTGTCCTGTTTAGTTGCTCTTTATGTAATGAGTTTCTAATGGATTTGGAAGCAGAATTTTGGAGAGACAGGGACGAGTTCTTGTTAACCAAGATGCAGATAAGGGGAATGATTGTGAAACAAAGAGAAAACAAGATTTCAGAAAGAAACTGCCAGGCACAAAACCCCACCGTATGCACCCTCTCTAGTCACTATTTGCTGGGTAATGATCACTTTTACATTTGAACGGAAGATTAGTTTTTCTCCTCTGTTTCAGTGCCTTTTTATCAGAGTCATATTTCTTACTGTTTGCACTAAATGACCTGTCTTAAATCTTTGATAGGCTGGAGTTTAATTTGTGTGTTGAATGGAATTAAAGGCTTATAGTTTAATCCTGGGCATAATAGTAGACTGGTGCTAGTGTCCATTTCAGATTAGTAAGTTCACACTTATTTACTAGATGGGAGTCTCGGCCTAATCAAACAGGCCGGTTTGTTAAGGACGTTTGAAGCAAATCAGCCTCATCCCATGATTTATACCAGTGACTGAATTTCTCATCCATGGTTGTAAAATAGTAGAGCTAGAATAGGAGAAGTCCATTATAATGCCTTGTGAATGTGCTTCTAGGGTTATGTTTCGAAGTGCCAAGGATCTTTAGCACCCATCTGTAAATGAAGGTGTCCTATCAAGTGACTGCTTACTCCGAAACATTTAATTAAGACTGTGTTGTGTCCTGGTTCCTCTTCCACCCTCGCATAGAAATTCTTCAAAAATGGTCAATTGATATTTCTTAAAGCCTTCAATTAGTAACATTTAACTCCTTGAAGCTCAAGAAGTTATCTCGTTACGAATTGTCTAAATGAATTTGCCCTTATTTGCGACTGCTGCCTTGACTGAAGGCCCGTATGATTGCGTGCCACAGAGTAAGTTTCCTTTTTTTCTTTTTTTGTAGGCTATGAGTTTGAATGGCTTATGGTAGTTTTCTTTTAAAAGCACAAATAAGATTTGGCACTAAAGAGTTGATTCGAAATCACACCACAAATCAACTTCACATTGAACTTCATTGTCAATAGAGTTTGCATAGAATAGGGTAAAGCAGAGCTGAAATTTTATCTTGTCTTTCATAATCATTTCTGTGGGATCGTTGGTTACTTGTTACTTCAAAGCACCAGTCAGTCTTGAAAATGGCCTCCATCACTATATTGTAAACGTGTATCAAAATCCAAATTGATTCTCCAACTTTCTCCACTTTTCCTTTGTCAAATTTTTAATGGTTGTCTTTTTATATTCTTTGTTTTGCAAAGATTGTGACGTATCAGATAATTATAGATAGTTTGGTCCATCAACTTTGTCTTCTTTATTCCTGTTTTATCTTTCCCAGTCATGGACTTGAAGTGATGAAAGAAAGGGAAGTGTGGGGTCTCGAATTTGTTATTCTGTCCCGCCACACACGTAGTGTGTGCGCCCATGACACTGGTGGCGACTTATCTCCTCGCCGTTGACACAAAGGGGCAAAATTGAAATGGGCCCTTTTTAAAGTTAGGAAAGTGCAAGGAAAGTGTCCTCTGCTTTTTATCTTGACATGGAATTTTTATCTCTTTGCTTTAGTATTCATGACTTTTTTTTTTTTGTTTGTCAAGTGCTATCGAGGTTGGACCGCTCTCTTAGGCTTTTCTTTCAAGTTGGGTAAGCACATATTCCCTTCAAGAGTCTGGGGGAAATTGCACTGCTATATTCCTTTTGACATGAGTCATTTTAAAGGTCTGTTTTCATCTTCCCTGCCAAAAATTATTCTCTATTTTCTTCTTTTTGATGATAGAAAGGTCACTATGTTAAATCCCTACCCATCAATCTTCACATTTGATCAAATCATAAAAATAATTGTCATCACCCACCTACGAAAACAATTTTGTTAGGTGATTGAACACTTTCTTTTGTTTTTTCTTTGATCAGTTGAAATAGTGAGGTGGGCTTCATTTAAAATAATCAAAGTCACTGCTCTAATCAATTAGAGATGAGGATTTTGTTCATCAATTTATCAAATGGGTAAACAAAATCAGATTTGGACTTTATCAATCCACTGAATAATGAATAGAGGCACTAAACTATATTTTATAAATTTTATATTTAAAAAAAAAAAACACTTCTATAAGTAAATATTAAAAGGTATTTATCATTTGTCGGGACTTTTCAAAGTCATTCCTAATTATACACATTGTTTGGTAAAATTGTCGAAAGTCCTATTCAAAGAAACTACGTAGAGTATCTTCCAAAATGTAGTTCAAATCACTTCCCGTGAAGTAAGCAGGCACTGAAGTGACATCCAATCAAATTTATGATATTCACAATTCTTATATCCTATAAATATAGGTGCAATTTGCAGTAATGACTCAAGAAATTTTTGTTAATGGTGACAAGTATGGGTATCGTTTTCGTCTTTCATATTACAATTCCATCTAATTTAATCCTAATTTGGATTCACATCAAATTTTTTTAAGATTAAAAATTATAGATAGTAAATTAAAAAATATATATATTTTTTCCTTGAATTGGGCTGACATGTACAATATTAATTTTTCAATGAAATCACAGATGGAGTTCAGTAGAAAACCCATGGCTACTTTTTGGTTGGCACACCTCTCTTTGAACTTGCAGCCTGGCCCATGACTAATTCCTTCTTTAGGTGTCCAAAACTTTCAACAGAGGGATTGATTCCAAAGTTCATTTAGTTCATTGTAATCCCTGGGTATCAAATAGGGCATTATCTTGTTATCTAAATTATTTTATTTACAGTTATGTCTTTGTAATTTAACTTACTAATCTACTAATATCATATTGTCTAATCTAATAACAGAGTTGTGTAGTCACGGTTATGGTTAGGTTTGGATTAACAATCCAACCACCTCCTCAATTCCTAAGTAATCATGACCTTAATCTCTATTTTTCTACAAAAATTTCCTATTTTCCTAAAAAGTAGTCACCTGTCCCTATCTTTCTTTTCATTTTTTTGGGGGAACAAATAAGAGAAACAAGCTGCTTAGGGTAGTGGGCAATAATTCCTCGGCAAAGAAATCTTTTAAAGCTATGCTCTAAGATTTTGTTGTCGAGTTGTTTATTTTAGACTAGAAAGTATTTTAATCAATGAAATTCTGTTATTCATAGTAATTTTGTAAAAATGATAAATTTAATAACTATTTTAATCAATAAAAATTCTCACCCTCAAGAATACAAGTTTTTAAATAGTTGGGCTGTTACCAGAAGGACCAAAAGAGGTGGGCAAAAATTGAAGACAAAATGGGACCAAATAATGAACGAATATCCCCCACCCCTCATATCCACATATGAATACTAACTTCCGATAAGATGTCCGGCCACCACAATTCACTGGCGGCGATGTCATCAGAGAAACTACGAGATCGGCAAAAGGACCAATGATGAACTTGTGGGTGCTCTTATGGTTCAGAGCGAGATAGCATGTGAGAAGCTCCTATAAGTATTCCCAATTGGATCTCATGTCAATAAACTCACTCGCCTCCATCATCTCTTGCATCGATTGTCGGAAATCATTGTAAGGGTCCAACGAGTACGTCAGGACTGCAATGCCAGTTCTAGCACCGACAATGAGTGTATCAGATTCTGACTAATGGAGTTGGAGATGGGGAGTCGATGATGGAGTTGGAGATGGTGACGAAAATGACAACGGAGATGGAGATGGGGAGTCGATGATGGAGTTGGATCGGTCGGGAGAAGAGAAGAAGAATCGGTAGGAGGCGAAGTCGGTGGTGGAGTCGGAAGTGGCGGTTTCGGTGTTGGAAGAGGAAAAAGAGATGTTGTCGGTGTATTTGGTGTCAAAGTGGCGGAGAGGGTTGGAGTTGGGGGTGGAATCAAAGGTGAGGTTGAAATTCTTGATGAGAGATGAGGCGGCAGAGTTTGGTAATGGATGTGGTGAGTAGAGGAAGATGATGAAGAAGATGATGATTGGGGTGGTGTTGCTTGTAGTTTGATCTTTGTGAACCAGAGATTAAGGTTTGACTGTGCTCCACATTTGTTCTCTCTTTGTTGCAAAGCAAAGCCAGAGAGAAGAGAGTTTGGGAGCCCAATCTATACCTATATTTATTGGAAAATTATAAGCTTCTATAATTTAGGATGGTAATAATACAAACAAACCAATTTTTTCCCAAGTAAGTTATGATCTAAATTGTTATCCGTTACAAACTATCCTGATCGGTTTATGATGATTAATTGTAGTGTTTGGTTACATCTCAAAATAATATTAATTTCAAATCTATTATGATGACTTTACTTGTGATCAAAATGAATTTCAATTATTCAATGTTAAAACATACATAATTTTTATATATAAAATTCACTCAAAGCCTCCGTTTGGGAAGTGGGTTGGCTTTTTAGCTTTTTGATTTTTTTGACTATATGAGCCTGGGCTCAAAAGCTTAGTTTGGGAAGGACTTTTGGCTTTTTGGCTTTTTTGATTTTTTTGTAAGAGAAGAGTGTAATGATTATGGGATTAGATGGGATTGTTTTGTCTGTTGTGGCTCATGAGTCTATTCTGTCTTTTATGGCTCATTGAGCCAAAAAAGCCCAATGAGCACTTGCCAAATCAACCCAAAATAATATGTTGATAACAATTCTGTGCATTTTCAAAATTTCAAAATAACATTATTTTGATTTTTTTAATAAGTATATATCATGTTTCTAATTATTCTATTCTTATGTCCATGGATGATCAATTTATCCTCTAATTATGTTTAGAATTCGAGTTATTAACACGTAATATGTCAAAATCTCACCCCCTAATGCTGCGTTTGGTTGAGGGATTTGGAAAGGGAAAGGGAAAGGGAAAAAATGTATGAAATTAGGTGAAATGTAAGTATATTTTATTTACATTTCACGTATCTTTTCCCTTTCTATTTCCAGAGAAAGAGAAAGGGAAAGGGAAAGGGAAAGGGTGTGTGAAACTAGGTGAAATGTAAATATATTTTATTCACATTTCACCAAATTTTTTCATTTCTCTTTTCAAATTCCTCTTCAAATCCTCTAACCAAACACAGCGTAAGTGTGCATGCAGGCATGGACAGCTGTAATAAATGTTTCGTTACTAATACTAGTTGTTTAATAGACTAACTGAGACAGATTTTTTAAAACGATGATTTCAAGTAGGCAAAATTTCCAGAGTGCAGACAATATTTGGGGAAATTATTCAATGCTTGTGGAACATTGCTCCTTTGCATTTACAAGTTATGTTCCAAGTTTATTGAATAATTTTCTCAGTATTTGGAATTGGAGGTCTAGTTTTAAGTTAAAAACAGCTATTCCCAATAATAATAAAAAAAACTCGCATCCTATGTGTGTGTTCTTATCAAGACAAAATTACAGTAATACTAAGGACGCAAAAACGATATTCAATCACCATATTAATGATCTTTTGCTATAATCTTAGAAAAGTGCTGAGAGAGCTTGGACTCCATTTACAGAGTCTGAAAACTCAGCACCGCCACTATAGAATTTAAGATGGTGTTTACACAAAAGGAGAGAGAATATGATTGTTAAACAGTAGGAATTAAAAGCCGTGAATCTCATTACTTATTGCCAATTAGGGAATAAGGTATTCTCCGACTTATGTGATATTTTAAAAAATATAAACAATATATGATAATATATATAATGTTTATTGAAATTTTAATTTTTTTTAATATTATTTTTCCTTAAACAGTTAGTTGGTTTAGACAACAACGGATTGTTGTCGATGGGTCTTGGATCTCGGTTACGAACAGAACTGGGTTGGCTTGAGTTTGGCTGGATGCCGATAACCACATTGTCAAGCATGAAGTCATTTTGGGGCCTCCTATGCTCTCTCCTCAACAAGCAGAGGCTGCTTCGGTTCTCCATGCAGTGCGTTGGGCATCCCAGCAAGGTATCCAATGTCTCCTCTTGCAAACCGATTACCTGGTTTTGGTGCAACTTCTGCATACCTCTAATCAACATAGTGATTGGCAGCTTCACTCTCTATTGAGTGATATTTTGTTATGCTCTAAAAAATTTGTACATGTCCTAGAAAAAGTAGACAGAACCGAGGTACACTCTGCTCATTCTCTTGCAACTTCTGTAAGAATTGCTTCTGATAATTAATGCAATCTCTAAGCTGCTTTAGTCCTAAAAAAAAACACTGATATTAATTGGGAAAATATGGCAGAAGTGGGCTTTTGAAAAAATAATTACAAACCAGTTAGAAACTTTATAAATATTAATAATTAAAATTGTAAATTTTTTCATGAATATGTATTTTTTTTTTCTGAATTCCACTACAGTGCAATTACCCCAAATTAATACTTCTCCATATATTACTACACATTACTAAAAAATGAAGTTTGAACCTTAAATATAGATAATAAAAGCTTTCAATACAGATTAGTGACAAAACAGAAGTTACATAAACATTCACATTGGGCTTTTGGATTTCTAAGCTTAAGCAAAATAGAAAACTTTTCGGTGCAACTAATTGTAAAGCTATTCCATGGAAATCATGTTTGGAAGAATGTGCATTTCAAAACTCAATAGGTAGTTTAGCAAAACTGCTATCCCATTCATAACACCAGTTGTAACAAATTAATGCTTCTGAAACCCAATGAGCTCCAAAATCAAATCTATTCATATTAAACTCTAAATTAGAAGACAACCACATCAACCAGAAGTCATAAACATGTAGAGAAAAAACATATAGATAAGTAACTGAGAATGATACCAAAATTACCAACAAACAATCCAGCCAATAATAAAACTCTCAATGAGTACTAATGTAGGGAAGAGTTATTCAACAAAACTTAGCTGCAAGAACCATAAAAACTTGAGAGTGAGATTAACGCTTCTTGGATACACCAACAGTCTTTCCCCTGCGGCCAGTGGTCTTGGTATGCTGCCCACGCACTCTAAGACCCCAGTAGTGACGGAGACCACGGTGATTCCTATCCAAATAACAAACAATTAGCATCGAAGCGCTCAAGCAAGTATAAATGAACACCACCAAAAACATAAAGTAGAATGACATTATCAAGTTGATATTATCCTTTTAAGGACTTTTCTTAAGTGTGCAACTTACACCTTACACTTACGCCTTTCTGTTTGCTATCCTGTTTTATGTTTATGCCTTATACTTTTAATACACAGGTAAAGTAAAAGAAAACAATAATCAGTGTTTTTTATTTCAATTTACTCAATTCAGTTTTCTGAAAATTAAATTTTTTATTTTTCGTGATTTCTTATTTTTAGTGAATATTTTTAAAATTTTAAGTAATTTTTTTACTTTTTTAGATGCAACTTACTTAGATGCATCTAAATAGTAAAATATTTGTGAAAAATATTTTAAAAATTAATATTAATAAATACACAAAAATACGAAAAATATATTGAATTTTCGTTTTTTATTTTTATTTTTGGTATTTAGTGAGTTTTTTTTTTTAAATAATATTATACTTTTTAATTGTATTTATGTTAGGTGTGTGTAAAAATTTAAAAAATTGCTTAAAATATTAAAAAAATTCAGTGAAAATAAAAAATTACGAAAAATGAAAACGTAAAATTTTCTGAAAAATGAAACCAAAAAGAGTGAATAATTCCTTCATGCAATCCAAGAAACGTATTAGCATCAGTCCACAAATGATGGCACACCTGATCTTCTTCAATCGCTCCAAGTCATCCCTTAGCTTCATGTCCAGTGCATTGGATGTCACCTGAGAAAATTTCCCATCCTTGTAATCCTTCTTCCTATTTAGAAACCAGTCAGGGATTTTGAACTGGCGAGGATTCGCAACAATTGTCATCAGGTTATCAATTTCTTGATTTGAGAGTTCACCAGCCCTGTTAGAGAAAATTGGAGTACCAGATAAGAGATCCCATACATTCCCCAATAACTCTGCCTTTTCATAAACATCTTACATAATACAGGCACAAAATATTTAAGAAGCAAATTTAAAAACAAACTAGAAAACAGATAAATAAGAGTTAATATCATTTTCTAAAAGCAAATTAAGCTGATAAAATCCAGGCTCTACACAGCTACAAAGATAGAATGGCGGCATTAAAACACCAATTAAACTTCAACATCTACACTGCTTCAAATGGTGTAGGAAAGAGCAATCTCAAATAATGGGAAAACACATAAATAGGAAAAAGTTTGGCAGTAATCTAGAAGAATTCGGCAGATAAATTAAAGTGGCATTTCAAGGCAACTAGAGGTAGCTCGTGTAAGCTCGCAATGCCGGTCAGGCAGGGTACATAGCCCCCCAAACCTCAGAAAATTATATACTTTTTTGGGTTATAATAGAAAAGTCACCAAGTAATTTTGGCACTGCCCCTCCAAAATTCTCTCAATTTTACTCATTTCAATATTTTCAATTTTGGCCAAGACTCAATTGGTCACTCACTCATGTAATGGACAAACCACTGGGCAACAGTTAATCAACCTACAATAGCTCCCTCTCTCTACAATTTGAAGGAAAACATGTATAACAACTGCAGCAAACCAGACCCAAACAAAAAGATAAAAGACACTTGCACACAACCATTTACAGATAGCCATCACAAGACAAATAAGAGCAAATTCATGACATATAGCAGAGAATAATGAAACAGTAAAAATAACCTCTTGTTCATGTCGACATCGGCTTTCTTGCAGACGATGTTGGCGAAACGACGGCCGATACCTTTGATGGATGTCATTGCAAACATGATCTTCTGTTTCCCATCCACGTTCGTGTTCTGCACTCGAAGAATGTGCTGGAACTCTTCATTCGCTACCAGCGACTGCAAATCAACACGCGCGCACACACACAAATAGATCAAATACATGGCTAGAGAGAGAGACATTGAATTGAAAATCTAAGAAGTTTCAGAATGGATCACCATGGCTAGGGTTTCAGATCGGGCTCTGCGAAAGCTCTTTCTTTACTCGCTGCGACGGCTTGCAACTTCGACTGGACAGACAAAGCCTCAAAACCCTAATACCGGAGTGAACAATGATATTATATATACTAACAAATGGGGCAAATATGTAAATTTACTAATTTCGGTACACTTTCACGTGCCAACGCACCCGACCCGACGTGTCATCTCATATGTGGTGTTTTGAGTGTTTTGAGAAGTTGATAAAAAGTTGGCATTTGACATTTTTAGCTAAAACAATTAGCTTTTTGAATAGTGACTTGGGTAAAAAAATTAACTTTTTTGGCTAAAAAAAGCCAAAAACAAGTTTTTTCTAACTTGCCAAAGCAAATGATTTCAAAATTCTACCAAATACATCATATGAACGTAGGATTCACATAGAACCCACATTCTATGAGTCCCACATTCGTGTGAGATATTTGGTAGAAATTTTGACAGAATTTTTGAGATCTCTAATATTATTTCATGTATATAATCGGTGGTGCTACATGTACCAATCAATTAGTCTTATGACATTGTTACTAATCATATTTATTATACACATTACAAATATCTAAAACTTCGAAAATGATATCACATCATCTATTAGTACATTAGTTAGTACACTAATTGGTATATAAAACATTTTTTTTTATAGGTCCCACGGTATCTCCAAGTTTTTTTTGACCCAGGACTAATACGCTGAGGAAGTTGCCGAGCGCATATGCGGGGTCCTCTCCCAAGGGGGTTTGTTGCATCCATAAAGGCTCAAACTCGAGACCTTTGCTTAAGCAACTCAAGTCGCTTTCCACTTGGACCAACCTCCATTGGTATTTGTATATATAACATTATGCAAAAAATTACAAAGGTAAATTACACTGACACTCCTGAGGTTTATGTTTAATACAGATTTTATTTTTACATTTGAAAAATTACATTATTATCCCTAATATTTGTAATCTCGTTACAAATTATCCCTTGAATTATTGATGTCATGTCCTAAAATTTTTTAAATTACCATCTTGCCCTTTTTTTTTTACAATTCCTTCTTCTTATACTACACTCTACAAATTTTCATTATTAAATTCCATCTGAATATATTTTTATTTAGTGATGATATACAAACATAAATTTTTTATTGAATTTTCAAACATAATGATATAGGAAAATTCTATTTCCACACACGTACTTATCTCTGTGCACATAATTTCTCAATGTACACACTTATGAATTTGATTAGGTATTATTTGTTTCGTTTCACACACCACATATTCTAATTATATTACTTAATTTAGATACAACACCAATACTTTTCATCCAAACAAACACCCAATTCAACTTCATCTACTAATCTGTATTTTGTTTAGCATCCATAGCCCTAATTTTCCCCATCTTTGGAGCTTCAAGCGTCAAGACCCTAGAATTTATGGTTCTGAGATCATAAGCTAAGAGCTTTCCATTTCTTTACCACCATCATCATGAAACCGGGTCAAATTAATCACAGTGACTGTGCTAGTATAAGATTATACCACAGTTTTGGATGAACAATGTTAGTATATTCACACTTTTTCAGCAGTAAAAGCAACCTAAAAAGTTGCAGAGAAGAGACGAAGAAAGTGAAAGGAAAACCTAAGTGAGAAAAAATGTACAACAATGTTAACAAAACTTATTTTTGTGTTATGAAAAGATTGCCCGTCGATTTGAATTCGTTCGGTGCACCATTCCTTGAAAATGATGGAGATTGTTGCAACATCCATAATCTACTATTCTTTGGGCCTTGCTTGAATGGTGTGGTTTTGGCAAGATGAGAATGAATTGGTTACAGTTTTGATGTCCACTATAGTCATTTATTTCAAGGTGTTATTTTCATTAAAATGAAATTTTATTAAGTGTGTGCATTAGGAAAAGTAGGTGTGAAAATAAAATTTTTCAATAATATAACTTAACGTTAACCTTTTACCTTAAAACAAAACACATATAAACATGATTTATATTTACAATAATATTATTATCATAATATTTTTATGATATTTTTTGTATAAAATCTTATATATGAATATAATTTTTTATTTTTATTTTCACTATTACATCTATATTAGATCAATTTAATCAAGATATATTTAAAAAGTATAAAATTTGTTCAAAAAATTTTTAAAAAATTCATTGAATACAACAAAATAAGATAATCTATTAATTTTTTGTATTTGGTAAATTTTAAAAAAATCACAAAATATTATACTTCTTAAGAATATCTAAATTAAGTGTATCTAAAAAATAAAAATAAAAAATTGCTTAAAATAGTACAAAAAATTCAATAAAGTTAAAAAAGCAAGAAAAATAAAAAAATTTAATTTTTTGTATGAGCTAAACCAAAAAGAATGATTGTTATTTCCTTTGAAATGACATAAACAAAATATCTATATTATTTTATATATATAAAGGCTAAGAGGCAAACATGTCATTTTAATCTGACAAGGGAATTTTTCAAATGTTAGAGAGAATTTGTATTAAATAGAAATCTCAAGGGATGTGTCAGTGTAATTTACCCAAATTACAAATATTTTTTTTGTAAAATTAAATATCAATTTCTTTAATTTAAATGATACTTTCTCTTACAAAAATGTAACAATATAAAATTACAACACTGATTGGCAGTTCAAATTTAAATTTGTTCAAATCGCCCGAATTTTAACTTGTCGGTCATCTGGTAAGAAGATGACAGCCGCGATCGACAAGGATGACAACCGCAATAACAAGTGTTGCATCGATCGTTCGGGCGATCGACCGGCATATACAAATTCCAACTTTCGGACAAATTCAAATTCAAGCAACCAATCATTTTTCATAAAATTAACTTAAATCAATAAAAAATAATGTTATACAAATACAAATAAATCTATATAGAAACTAGGTTGTTTAGATGTGAACTTATTGCTTTAAACAAAGAATCTATTGCAACGACTATTAATTATGAAAAAAAGAAGTCTAATTTGAAATTTCATATAAAAATGTTGGAAATAAAATATTTTCATGAATAAATAGGTTAAGCGGATCAATAGAGCATCTCCAAAGAATTTTTTAAATAAGACTTGTTATCTATAGTAACTAGCATTATTATATTTTAATCACTTCAATAGATTAGCTATTATAGTAACTATTTTAACAAAATTTTCAAAACTAATTATATTTGAAAAGTCTTGAGATACTCTTTAAATAATTTGTATGTATAAATAGGTAACATAAAGAGTACCGTTAGTACATAGATACAAAAGAAATTAAGGAAGATAAAAAATTACCTCTTTTTATATTTTATCTATTAAAAAATGAAAAATATAGTTGAAGTTGCCCTTACTATGTTTGAGAACTTAAGAGAGAGAAGAAAAGAAATAATTATTTAAGTTATAAGAGAAAAGAAAATAAAAGAAATAATTATTTAGGTTATAAGAGAAAAAGAAAAAAAAAGAAATGATTATAATTTCTCCCTTCTTGTTTGGATAAGTAAGAAATCAAAAAAAAAAATGATTGTGATTTCTCTCTTTCTTGTTTGGTTAGATTTCATAGGAGAAGAGAAAAAAAATTATTTTATGTTATATTACCAAAATAACCTATTTATATTTTCAATCATTTTATTTCTTTTATTTTTACAGGGACAAAATTGGTATTATGAAAATATAAGAATGCATTGGTTTCTTTTCTTTCTTAATCTCTCCACTTTTGAAAAGATTAAAAATGAAAATTATAAAAGAAATAAATTTCTCTTTGTTTCTCTTCATTTCTCTCCACTTAAGTTATCTAAACAAATAAGAGAAATACATATCTCTTAATTTCTTTTATTTTCTCTCCAAATCACTCAATCCAAACATAGTATTTCATTTGGATAGGTAAAAAAATAAATTAAAATTTAACTATATGTAAAATTAAAAAACAAAACTGCTAATTTCCTCTTAGTTTCAAAATTATAGTACTCTTGCTACTTTTTTTTCCCTTTTTTTTTTGGAAAAAAAAAATAAAAATAAATTCACAACCTTCCCTCCATTAACAGTGTTATTACTAGGACAAAAGTTACTGAGTTAATCAGTCCAACAATTCAACAAAAGTTACCCCTTGAATGAAAGTTTAAAATCCTATATTACATTATGCAATTGCCCCAATTCAACTAAAAATATAAATGTAAAAGAATGAATATACAACTACACCATTGAATAAAGAAAGAAATGGTAATAATACAATACAACAATCATTTTCTCACTGCCTTTTCTTACCCCCTACCCTAGACAAAAGATGGCAAGACCAGATTAGCAAACACTAACATAAGTAACGCAATATGGAAAAACAGTGGCATTAGTATCATTGAAATAAATTATATATAATAATAAATAAATAAATAAATAAGAAAAACTCAAGAACTAAATTCAGAAGTGAGATTCCCATCATTGTATTTAAACATACCAAAAACAAGTGTCAAAAACTCAAACAATAAAATGTAATTTAGCCTTAAAAAACATTCTAAACATTCCCAAATACCCAATAATTTAAAGGGGGGAAACCTATAATTAGGCAACAATTGGTACCATTTACACGAGCATAGGGAAGATTAAACAGGGCAGTTTTTTGGCCAGAGTTGAGATTGCCATTTGGCTATAAGTTTCAATTCTTCACAACATTCATATCTAAAAACTTAGTAAAGGTCTAGAACATTGTCAACAACATGAAGAAAACGAAAATCACAGAACTATTTTTATCACCAGCTCCAGCTTTGGCCCCCCTTAAAATGATGCAACGAAAACGTCACCTGCATCCGAGTCAAGAGATTGGATTGGTTACATACACTGCAAAAATGATCCTCTGCTTTTCAACCTGGCACCGCCTACTGCAGGAAGATAAAGGAAATAAACATTAGCAAATGAAAGACAGAGATCCTAAAAATTAGTGAGATAATATCACAATACTGCAAACTGACTAATACGTGCACATGAAAGTGAACAAAAAATCCCATAGGGAAGTGGGAAAATAAAATCACCAATGCTGCAGAAATAGAAACGGAAATGTCAGCCTGCATTTGCAGCACAACACAACTGGCAACAAATTTAACTACGCAAGTGAATTTTGTGCTTCTAAAATGTAAATTATTTATATTGATTTGTGGAAAAAACCAGTCACCCATTATGTGGTCATGAAAATTAGAAACACAAGGTAACCAAAACTACATGGAAAACATTTTGTGTTACTCAACACAGTTAACCAAGATCAAAATTACTAGAATCAATGAAAGTAAATTTCAAATATATGGTTGTAGGATGAAACCATTCTTCATTCAGTAAATAGTCAAAGGAGATCAGGAAAAAAGTAACTTAAAAATTGACAAAAGAAAATTACAGGAAAAGCAAGACAGAGAAGGTGGCAACATCAAAATATGTTAAAACTGCTACTGAAGACCATTAAGGTGATGAGAGAAGAATGTAAAACACACCTCGAAAAGAAATTCCCTTTTTAGCCTTTCAGGTTTAAATATTCACATTTGTCACAAAAAGACACAACAATCTTTTACATAGATCATAGAAACATAATGTATCCATCTTTTCTTGCTATTCTTCAGTGAACTGCACTACAAAATACTCAACAAAATAATTATTTACAAAGTTTCTATCTCCGAAAAAAAAAACAGATTCTCCACTGATTATGGCCTCCAAACAGCAACAAGCAAACATGCTTTTCAACCCTGGGGTTCCATGCATCAAGCTAGTATAAATTTAGCATGGGTTACCATTCCTCAACAATCTACATGACTCTACCTGCAACAAATTAAATTCACCAATCAAACCGAGTAAAATGTATAAGTATTTAACAAACCACTAAGACTAAAGACATGATGAGGATGAACAAAAAGTAAAGAGAAAAACAGCAACAGCTATCAAGCTATCACTTTTAGAGAATTTTTAGAGAAATGGAATTTCTAACAGAATCTACTCAACTCAACAAGCCTTTGCCCCAATTACTTTGACTCTGCTACATGAATTTATGTCCTTTCTAATCACCTCAACACATGTTCTCTTATGCCTTCCTTCCTCCATTTTGTTTGCCACTCTCAACTGCACATAATCATACCATCTCAAATGTTTTTCCCTCATCTTTAATTGACAACACTTCTAATTTTTTTCCACAATGCATGCATTTCTCAATTTATCACTTCTCATAACACCGTTCATCCATCTCAACATTCTCATTTCAGATACTCATTTTCTGAACATGCCTTTATTAACTTCTCAACATTCAATACCATCCGTACAAGCTCAAAAGGTATTATGGAAGTACTATAAAATTCTCACTCAACTTAATAGGAATCCTACAATCATACTACTCTCTAGATGCAGTCCTCCATCTCATCTATCTTGCCATAATTCTATAGGCAACGTCCTCCTCAATCTCTCCATCTTATAAATAATTGACCCTAATTATAAAAAATGATCACTCTTAACCCATCAAGATTTACAATACATTCATCCCTATTTCTAGTTTTGCTGAAGTTACCCTCCATATATTTTGTCTGAGTCCCACTTAACCTAAAAAAACAGTAACTTTTTCTTTCCTTTTTTCTCCCTTCCCCCAGGAGAGGGAGGTGTTGCACCAGTGAGTTATTACACACAAGTGATTTTAATTGAAAACCCAATTTCACATAAATAAGCTAAACTCGCTCAATTTCACCTTTACAACATAGTCAGTAGAAGTTTGTTTATTGGAGAGAGAAAGAGCGGCCTATTTTAATAGTCCTCCATCTCATCTGTCTTGCCATAATTCTATAGGCGACGTCCTCCTCAATCTCTCCATCTTATAAATAATTGACCCTAATTATAAAAAATGATCACTCTTAACCCATCAAGTTTTACAACACATTCATCCCTATTTCTAGTTTTGCTGAAGTTACCCTCCATATATTTTGTCAAAAGTCCCATTTAACCTAAACAAACAGAAAACCTTTCTTTCCCCTTTTTCCTCCTTTCCCAGGAGACGGAGGTGTTGCACCAGTGAGTTATTACACAGAAGTGATTTTAATTGAAAACCCAATTTCACATAAATAAGCTAAACTCACTCAATTTCACCTTTACAACATAGTCAGTAGATGTTTGTTTATTGTAGAGAGAAAGAGAGGCCTATTTTAATAATATAATTACCTCAGGAATACCAGATGCATTACAACTGTCAGAGGTACAGAGGCAAGTTAGATCAGGACTTGAGCTTGAGTTGCACAGGGGCTCAGAATGATACAATGAGATACTTGTGTGATCAACCTGAGAACCAGACTCAGATTCCTTGACGCTCATCTGAGGCCTGTTGGGAAGAGAATCGATGTCAAGAGAATGTGAATCAGTATGAGAAGCAGCAAATTCTTCTCTCAGATCATGGATATCAACTCCTGATCGGCAAACAGAGGACAGGCAAAGTCCATTACTAACATAAGTCTGAGAATTAGGTTTAGAAGCATCATCGAAAGCCCCACCAAGAGGAAGGCAATTGTTGTGAACTGAAACGATTTCTTCTGGTTCATGACTTCCAGCAACCTCCCTCGGACAAGAACAAAGGTTACTATCATCAGGAGATGATGCATCACAATCATTTTCAATGTCTTGTGCTCCTGAATGAGATGGTGAAGCAGGATTAACCATTACATCATGGGACTTGAAATTTAGTTGTGTTTCACATTGTACATCGGGAGGCATAAGATTTGTAGCCACTGAATCCTGACTAACAAAAATCTTACTGGAAATTTCAGATCCAGGTACAAGATCTTCATTCTGAGGTTGAGTCATAACTTCAGCAGAAAGGTGTACAGAGCCCTCAATAACAGCATTCACTCGTCCATTTAGCTCACAATCGGCACCTTCTGTACCTTCACCATCTGATGCATTAAGAGTTTTTTTCTCACAATTTGATGCATCAGATGCTATCTGGGAAACAGAAGATGATTTGTGTTCCACCCTTGAAGTACTGAGCTGATTCAACTTGGAGTACTCATTAGGGGGCACATAAGTAAAGCCTGAATGAACATTTTCTTGTCTATTAATCTCCTCCATAATATGCTGTCCATTAAGTTTGAGAGCATCCCTGCCAGAAGCCTTGTAATCCTTAATTTCTTTGTTTTCCCAATCTTGATGTGAATGAACATGACAATTGTTGAAGGTAACAGATTCTTGAAAATCCACCCTCCCACTTGTTATATCAGATGCATCATTCAAGTGAACATCAGGAAGCTGCAAACCAGATTCACCAGGAGCAATTATAGTACTTATTCCATGTGCATGATCTGAGCTAACCTCATGCAAAATATTGGAGTCAGACACTGCATCAGAATCACCTGACCCCTCAGGTGTAGCCTGATGCTCGGTTCTGGGTTCAGCGGATTTTGCAGCTTCAATACAAACATAAACAGTTAACACTTCAGAGAAAAAGTTTGTGAGAGAAAAATACCTATAAGCATTTGTTACATACCTGCAGGGGAAATAAGATTCTCTCCAACAAACTGCTGCTTTAACAAAGGTTTCTGTAACATATCCACACCAGGGAACACTATCATATTCATATATTTCATTTCTTTCTTGTTTGATTCTTCAACGGGAATGAAACCAAAAACAGAAGTCCATGTTTGCCGAAGTTCAGAGATGGCAGGTATAACTAGTTTCTCAACATTAAGAGAGCAGAGAGCCTGACAATAGGTTAGGAAATGGTAGAATCAGTAAAACTAAAGGAACAAAAGAAAGATATTGGATTTAAAACAGAGAATAGAAATATGCAAACAAAAACAAGAACAAAAAAAGACGCAAGAAACGGAAAACTCATAGCACTATGCTCATATACTATACAAACAAATATTTACCCACATAAAAGAATGCACGTGTGAGTCGAATACAACACAAACAAGATGAAAGGTGGTAAAGATGGCAAGTGATAATCCAAAGACCTACATTTTCAAGAGAAACTCTTCTCAATAGAAAGATCGAAACATGTAGCTGAACAATAAGGAGAAAAATAAGCCTAGCCCTCAAAAAATAAGGCTAGCAAGTGACTATGCTCCCATCCACTTTTCATGGAAGGCCAATCATTATTCAACAAAGGGGAACAAGAATGTGATATGCTACCATGGTTGTTAAAATCGCGATCCGGATCGTAGGATCGTACGATCCTACTTTGCCAAAACGATCCAGATCGTTGTAGGATCGATGTTACAAGAGGATCGCAAGTAGGATCGTGTAGGATCGCATGGGATCGTGTAGGATTGTATAGGATCGTAGGTAGGATCGCAAGTAGGATCTTAGATTTTATGATTTCGCACCTTATTTTTAATATGTATCATTTTAATTTTAATTTTTATCTTTTTTTTTAATAGAAAGTAGGATCTTACGATCATCGATCCGATCCTACGATCCAATCCACCAGACCCTCTCACCGATCCTACTTAGGATCCCGATTTTAACAACCTTGCATGCTACATAGACTAAAATGTGGTATTATGGAGACAAGATTAATGGATCACATAATTGGAATGTGATGAACTAGTTCTAATGCATGACTGATTTTCTTTCAACCATCAAATCAATCATGAATATTTTTAACTACAATGTATAGTCATTCAACTAGTATTAGAACTTGGTTACAAAGAACTAATTATATATAACTAATATGATTTGAATTATTAAACTAAGTTCGTCCAACATATCTTGATGTGCTTATGGCCTTTTCCTTCAATGTTCTTCTCCAACAAATCTCCCCATTCTCTTACCTTTTCTAGTTATTCTTAAAATTCAATCTATTAAACAAGAAAATGATTTGAAGAATAAAGAGATAATATTTGCATTACTAAATTCTATGTTGTGGAACAGAAGCATTCCATGTTTGAAACATGCATCCACAATAAATATTACTTTTATTGCAGCGCTTTCCCATAAATTTTGCATCTTATTCTTATTCTTATTTTACTATGTTCTATTAAAATTACAACCCAACAGTCTATAATAGTATGGCACTTAAGTGCAGACTCTGTACTTGTTTAGCAGCTGCACCATCCAGACCGGAATGAATCGCTTGAAACAATAAAGATGTAAAAACACAAAACACTGAAATAAACTGACATCTTATGCATTCCCAAGTAATTAAACAAAAATCCTATATAGTCAAAGATTCATTAGTAGTTAAAATACAACATTGTTGTTTAAAATCAGATGAAAACCTCTAACAAAAAGCAATTAAATTAAACCCACTATAGTCATTTACTCAGTTGCCAAAAAGGCACAAATGATGGTAAAAATAGCTCGCCTATAATTCACAACATACCGATTCAATTGCATTGAGAAGCCGACGACACATTCCTTGACGCCTATAAATATGGCGAGTCCCAATGAATGGCATCTCCGCTAAATGATTCCCATGTATCCTATTTAACAAGGTGGGAAATGTTGTAAATGTAGTAATTACTAGCATTAAAATTCTTAAAGCATGCACAAACATTCACATCAAACTAGCAACAAAAGATTTCAATTGGTAATTCTAGAAATTAGCAAGGATGAGAGAAGTTTATGCTATATTGAAAAGATAAAAACAAGGTAACAATGTTTAATACATTTTCAATTACTTTTCCAGAAACAATCAAAATGTTGTACTTTGTGTTTCCATTTCATTACATTAAGAAAGATCAAACTTAACAAAACAAGCTGCATTCTCAAATATTTTTACCATTTAATTTTCGAATTAAATACCAAGTACAATGAACAAACAAAAGAAAAACACATGTAGCAACAGATATTACATTTTGACTATTGTACTATATGACAAAACATGCTAATGCAATACACTTGGGTGATGAAAGAAGAATATAGATAAATTGACATGGGCAAAATTTTAGAAGTGTTGACACAGAGAGAGAGAGAGAGAGCATTTAGTGAAAATTACTTTAAAGCCCCTAAATTTACGAAAGTCTAGTTAATACAACTTTTTCACTATTCAAAAGCCCCTAAAATGCCAGCATCCCCACAACACAGGTAAAGTTAACCTTTCTACACAAATCACAATGGACAAAAATACCCCAATCCCAGAAACAACAGTTACAAAGGCCTGTTTTGGCAACAAACTTTTAACCAAAAAGCCAAAAAGTCACTACAAAATAGTCCACTCTTTTCTCTACTTTTTTGCACGTCTTTTCATAAAAAGCCAAAACTTCACTAAAAAAACCAATTCCCAAAACAACACTAAACAGTGTTTAGGTATCATTTGTTTATTGAATTTTGCTCAGCAGTGACAGTAGTGATTATTGATGACCATGCCGATACCAGAGTCACAGACAATACAATAATGGTTCAATGCAGACACTCCTCTCATAACAAAAGGGGGAAGATGGTCAATGGCAGTGGACTAGATCAGGCCTCCAAGAGGCCAAGAGGGGTGAGGTCTTGTACAACAATATGACCATACAAAGAGAATGAAGTAAAACTGGATCATTAAAATATCAATTTGGGGACATAAACATGCATATATGTATTGAAGTATTTACATTAGTACATAACCATCAACAGAAATTTGTATTTAAAGAGTACAACTGTGACAAAATTGATCACAATGCAGGCACAGAAAAAACCTTATGGATGCCACCGAGATAATTTCATCACCCCTCTCTAGAATAGCAGTGAAGAACCCACTGTAGTTCAGCCGACTAAAATTTGCCCTGGGAACATTTTTCAGAAAGAGACAAGAATAGTATCAGTGTTAGGTTATCAAATGACAACAATCATAGAGATGTAAAATAGTTAGTCACAACTACACAAGGAAAAGACAGACTGATTAACAAAGATATGCAGAAGCTAAGGTAAACCTCAAAAATATATAAACACCACAACATAACAAGTGACAACCCAAAAAAAAGAGAACCAAAACAAAAAAAAACACCAAGGAATGATTATGGTAACAATTTAATACAAAAAACTTAAGCACTGCAGAATCGTCGAGCAAAAATGATAAGGAGCAGATATGACAAATGAAGTCAGAACCCTGGTGGGTAGCATCAGATAGGGGTTGAGGGTAGCAATGGGAATTATGTTTAGTGGCAAAATTGTAATAAAAAAATTAAAGGTAGGGGAACAAAGGAAAAGGTGTGTGAATTTAGAAGATCCTCTAGCAAACCTTCACTTAAAGTAGAATAAGTTAAATATTTTTCAAATTTGTCAAATAAATATTTCACATGAGAGATATCATCTTAATTACACAACATATTAAAGTGTGAAGTTTTCACAAAGCAAACCCTGGCAAGAAAAATTATTACTTATAACTACTATTTAAATCTTTTACTGCAATGAATCAGGGGGTTTAGAAAGGTGCATTCATGCACCAGTGCTCATTCCAAAAGTGACGGATCAGAATGTTACTTTTTTGGCTAGAGGGTAAAGATATTGAAAGAGCACAAAAAAAAAAAAAAAAAAAAAAAAAAAAAAAAAAAAAAAAAAAAAAAAAAAAAAAAAAAAAAAAAAAAAAACAAACAAACAAACAAAAAACAAAAAACAAAAAACAAAAAACAAAACAAAAACTATGAAGTATGCACATCCATGAGCACAGCATAAATTGTTTACTGACAAAGATTAGTAGGATGCACTTTCTTTTCTTTTTTTTTTGATTGGCAATTTGTAGGATGCACTCTGATCTCGTGGGAAACTTGCATACGCAGGAAGGATAACAGGATATGGGTAGAAAACAAAATATTTGCAATATGTAGGTTGCAATAAAAAATTGTCTAACTTCATCAACAACTTGAGCAGGCATTCTTTCAATGCTCAAGGCTGGCGCAATGTTCACGAAAAATTTATTCTAGAATAAAATTCAAAAACAAAAAATCTCTAAGCACAATTGACACTAAAAGAGGAGACACAATTAAGCAAGATTTATTCCAATAACAACATAATTAATAATTTGAACGGTTTTAGCTCCATATGCCATTGTCAACCACGTACACAATGCTTCCAGCAAAACATATTTCAAGAGTGCTTACCCACAGCTATAGACAACATTCCGAATCATATTGATCCCACTTCTCTGGTCAACAATTGGCAAGAAACACTCATCCATAATAGACAATGCAACAGCCAACTTGGAGTTGCATTCAACTTTTTCAGGAACACTACTGAGAGAATCTTCACTAACATCAGAACGTTGAATAAAAGTCCATGAAAATCCTTCTTCCATCTGATGTTTAACCCCAAGAAGCACCTGTAGTCGCTCAAAGACCTGTTGAACTAAGTCCATTCAGCAACCAGTACATAGAAAACAGGAGATACACAACTCAACTCATAAAATCTATATCCAATCATTAGGGATTGACTACCTAAAAGACGGAAGACAAAGTACAATAAATATTGTTATTTATTTAAATTGGCAGAAGCCAAATACACTGTCAAATGAAAATAGAAGAGAAATGTAGTATATAAAGAAATATGTCACAGATCCAGATGAATGAGGTGGTTAATATATGGTGTCAAAACTGCTGGTCATGTGAACTCTATCTCAGGTTAGGAAGCTTGTTTAATGCTTCAAAAGTGCAGCAATATATACAATAAAATTTGTCTAAGCTATGCAATACTTAGTAATATCTTATTCACAGATCACTAATCAAGTTGGATTCACTTGCAACCAAACTGGATTAATCTAACAAACTGCAAAAAGAAGATCCTTTGATTAATGATGTCAAACTAGAGGATCCAAAAAATATAGCTTTAGTTTGAATGAATTTGCTCTGTTTATTAATTTAGATGGGACAAATTAACAAGTAAGGCTGCGTTTACAGATGAGCCTCCCCAAACCTCAGTGTCGATATCCTCATGCTCTAAGACTAGGACAAATTAAGAGGTAGTTTGGGAAACAAATAAGTGCGTCTTTAATTAAAATCAAATTCTGTGTTGCCACGTCTTCAATAATCACCCACTATTCTTAATTTTCGGCTTTTCAACTGTTGTGTAGGTTGCCCTACCACTATGAAAATCAGGACCAAATAATTTGACAATGTTTCTGGCTAAAACTTAATGACCTAACTTTTAGGGGGGCTTGCAAATGCACACCTAATATTTCTAGATAAACACAGCAAACCCACTGAGACCCTTGTACCTTATGAAATAAACTCTAGTATGGTGGGTGTACAAAAAAAACTTTTGGATGTATTTAGCACCTCCCAACTCAACTTTGAGTTTACTGTAATACTTAGGGCTGGTTTGGCATGTTTGAAAAAAGCCAAAAAATCAAAAAATCACTATCCTATTTAAGTCACATCATCTTATTTAAGTTATATCACTTCTCTAACATATCACTTCAAACCCAACCCAAACCCAACTCATATTTCATAAAAAGTCAAAAAGTGCACTTATTTAGATCATCCCAAACAACCCCTTAGTAGAAGACCTTAATCTCTGATATGCATAACGACACATATTAGTTCCTATAAGAGCATAGAAAGTTCATCTAACCAATTATGTTCACTATCAAACAAAACCTTACAACACAGTAGTAGCATGTTGTCAAGATTTCTAGCTGAAACAAATATCAGGAAATACTACTTACTAATAACAATTACAACTTTTCAGTTCAGGCATGAAGAACAAAAGAACAGAAGTAGGGACCTGAATAAAATTAATGACTACTGCAATTTAACTACATTGTATCAACACGAGTTTTAAGTATTTAAGCTGTAGAATTTAATCGACTTTTACCTCTTGACATTTCTTCCCACAGAAGGATGTACAACTGGAATCAACATGTACAGCATCCTTCCTCAGAATGCAGAGTTGATGATCTACAAAAGGAAAAAAGCTATTGCTGTCTAGGCCAAAACTAGCCATCTTATGTAATAAAATAAAGTACAGAATTGAGCATAATCCAAAGAATTTGCTGCACTGTGATAATTGAAGTGTATACATTTTTGCTCACACAAACGGCATGCAAGTAATGCAGAGTCAGGTATATCACAATTCTGATCTGTTTGACATGTATTCCCACCAACCATCCCACAAAATTTGCAAGAACAATACACACAGTGCCAGTCACCAGAAGGGAACATCTGCAATGCAAAGAAAAGAACAATTACTGGGGGAAAAAAAACAATATTTATATTTATCCCGGCCAACATATTTCCACATGTGCTATTAGCAATGAAATATCTCAATTGCACAGCAAAAAAGATATTCCTATTTTGGATAAACATTATGATAACATTATATAGAAGAAACTCAACAAGCGTTTCCAAACATATTCAGAGGAATAATTTAATTGGATGCCCAAAGATTTTATTTAAAAACTGGCTGCCTGAACATACAACACAGATGGTTACACATTATTTATATCTCACACATTGTGTTTGGGAACCCATACATCTATGATGCAGGCGTAAACAACCCATCAACGCATGGTAGTGTTTAGTAGTTAATCAAATTTCCGTATTTTTTTATTTTATTTTGTTGGACACGGGCTGTAGGGGTAACTAATGGATTTTCTTATGGATCAAGTTATTAAATGGGCCATTATAAATGAGTTTTATATGTGTACAATAGCATCAAGGTCCCCAACTTTGAATTCATATCATAGTTGGTATAAAATTAGAAGTCATAGTCATAATTGGTCTAGAATCTTTATCTTTACCTTCACCTACTCCACTACACACTCCACTTCACCTACCTCCACTTCACCACACACTCCACTTCACCTAACCCACTATCACCTCCACTACACCTACTACCACACCTCCACTACACCTACTACCACATTTTCTTCTATATATAGATTGTATAGGAATTGTAATTAATATATCTTGTAATCTATCAATCAAGACATCAATCAATAATACATAAATTCTTACAGTTACCAAATATTCTTAGTTTCTAAATTAGCGGTCTAAACCTCCTAAAAGTTTATATTAGTAGGAGAGTTCTTTTAGCCTATAAATATATTAGTAATCTCGTTGATTCAATAGAGTTGATTTTGATGAGAATTCGTGTTGTGGTTGTGAGATGTTTCCTAACTTTTGCAAGGGCTCATTCTTCTTCTTTTTTCCTATTTTATGCACTCTATTCTCTGTTGCACTGCTGCAACTAGTACTGTTCACGAACTTACTGTTCACAGCGTTGAATTAATCCGGGAACAGACTTTAAACTCTTACATTTGATTATCACAAAAACTTACCCAAATAAAATTTAACCAATCTCAGCCTTTATTTGCTTGTTTTGGGCCCTCAAATCAGTACCACAATCCCAAAAGCTTGCTGTTTAGATTTCTTAATATCATTATTTCAGTTGTAACACCATCTATTTTGGTAACTAAAATTGTAGGAATGTGTTTACCTGCACTTGTACTATATCACTTGCTTTGTATGTATTTCTTACTTATTTAATAAGGTTTAACTAGCATCCCAGTTAAAGGGTAGGAGAGGTTGCAGGTTTAGGCCTTTAACCACCAATTAGCACACATGTATGTATTATGCATGCATGCATGCATGCATACATAGATATAAAAGAGGACAAGAATTGATAATGGTAGCGTTCTATGTCACTAAAATATAGACATGCTTCATCTAGGGTCTTCGCAGAGTTCCCACTTTGCACTTGGCCAAGGAACACCCAGTGATTTCATCTAAAAACCCACTGAGAGTACCAGTGACAGATCTAGAAACTAGCCTTGGAAGGGGAGGGGTAGGGGGAGCGGGCACAAGATATGTACACTAGAAAGCAAATTTGGAAGAAAAGTTATAGTTATTTTGAGTAAAGGTAACACACAAAGAAGATGCTAAACCATAGATATTCACAACATAAACTATGAAGGTGGCATTAGAACCTAAAATATTCAATACTAACATAGATAATTAAAAAATAAAATAAACAATAAAAAAAACACCAGCACACAACGATAAGTTCATGAGTACATTCTCCATTTACACTGCATATTACGCACAAAACATAACCAAAACTAATCAAACTACACAAACATATTAGACATCTTAGTTTGTGCTCAGTTCAAATTCAACCTGACCACACTTGAACATGTTTTCATGAATAAATCTTTTATTCCTCCCCAGCTCTGCCCACCCCTAGATCAGCCATTGTACTGAACCATTGCAATTCAAGAACAACTGCTGATGCAGGCTTGCCGGGAAGATCCAGCTATTTAATTGTGCAACCTAAAATAAAGAAGCCAAAAGGTTGCTACTGAACGACAAAAAAACAAGGATACAACTTTTAGACATTCAATGAAAAAGCGATAAAATCGCATCAAAAGTGTTTTTGTGCATCTAATTCAAACCATCTACAAAACTATATAAAATGAGGCAATGCATCCATACTTGGATATTTAAGCAAATTTGATGGAAGGTTGATGGACAACCATCACAACAGATTAGGTCCCCACCATCCCCGCACTTGTTGCATGTATCATCATTTGGATCATCGCCATCAACATCAACAGAATGGAATCCAATGCATTCAGACTTCTCATGTTTATTCCACGTGTCTAGTAGACATTGCAAAAGTGAACTTCCAGACACTAAATATATACTTTGCAATGGCTGGCTGTCATTACTTCCATCATGAGCCTTAAAATCTGAAACAGAAAGGGTTTCATTGCAGCAGTCACAACGAATGCCATCTCTGGTTATCCGGCCTCCACGATTCATACATTGAACCTTCCCATTAAGTTGAACAGTTCCCAAGTCAATCATCCAAGAGAGAAGACTGCGTTTCCCGTCATATAGGACAAAGCCTTCACTGTCAGGATCCAACCCCTTCAATCTCTTTCTATTTTGTCTATCCTCCCGATTTGATCCATGTTTTCTTCTTCTTTTCAAGGACTTAGCACCGGAAATTATGGCTAAGCCCAATTTTTCTTTGTGCCCGTGCTTTGAGCGACCTATTTTCCCTGTAGCATGCTTCTTTTTAAAAGACTTCTTTTGAGTGACTCCTTTATTTGTCTTATTTGCACCCTCTGTTTGTCCCTTCGATTCCCTTTTAACCTTCCTTACCCTGAATAATTTGCTGAATTCCTCATCTGGTATTGGAGTAAATGAAGAAATGGTGCTACTATCAGCATCACCATCTTCAACTTGTTGTTTATGAATTCTGTAAGCCAAGGTGACTGACCAGTAACCCTTTCCTTGGGGACTGACATATACAGCATCGTTGTACTCTCTGCCAAGCCTGGGCCTATATTCAATTGTCCAGCCAGCACTCTTAAGCAAAACAATTATTCGCTCTCTCAATAACTTTGTTTCTGCACGTCTGCCCATCCCCAGTTCTCCCCCTTCCTTGTGCTTATTCATTTTTGACTGATTTACAATGATTTTCTGGCCTGCATGGTGTGAATCATCAGCTAGCCCGTGGTGCTTTCCATCATCAGTAAATTCTGTGGACTTCGGTTGATCATCATTGTCCCTGGACTCTATTTCCTTCCGTTTCACACAGCCAATCACCTTTAACAGCCCACTTTTCCCCTGCACCTTGGGGGGTCTCCCTCGATGTCGTTTTAAATTGGACTTCGGTTTCCTGGACCCCATTTCTTTATGTTTCTCACAACCAATCACCTTCAATGACCCACTTTTCCCCTGCGCCTTGGGGGGTCTCCCTCGACCTCGCCTGACAACCAAGTCTTTTTCCATTTCCACGATTTCCTTGCTTGAAGAATCACTTTCCTTCTTCACTTTACCTCCAACAACACCTTCAGCCAGTCCACCATCAACCATTTTCTCACCACCACTTATCACCACTGTCATTGACCTCAAAATTCTACAGCCAACCTCAGCCTTACCATCAAAAGGGGCCTCCTTAACCTTCTTTTTCTGTGCACCATTATCCACATTGCCCCCAGAACTATCTGCCATTTTTCTTTTCCTCCCCCTTCGCCCTCTCCCAGTTTTAGACATACCTGTATGGTAGTCACCAATGCCATTAACATCAGCTTCTTTATTGCATTCAATGTGTTCAAAGTCCTCAGACCCATTTCTCTTCCCTTCCATTTTTCTCTCTTCAACACACTCCAGTGGAACCTGCCCGCCCTTGTCGTTACCATCAGTGTTGTTGGTTTCATCACCCTTCTCTATACCCAAATGAACTTCATCTTCCAGCTTATCAGAGCTCTCCACCCTCCTCCTTTTCCTCCCTCGTCGCCCTCTCCCAATTTTAGGCTTAGCTGTATCGGCATTAGTATCAGCATCGACATCGACATCAACATCTTCTCCACACTCCACATGTTCAGACTCACCCATGATTTCTTTAACGCAATCCAGTTCAATTGAAACTAAATCTGGTCCTTTCTTGTCGTTGCCACAATCGTTTATGATTCCATCAGCCTTGTTTAGATATGAATCGACCGTATCTTTCTCTAGCACTTGACCATTATCTGATTTCGCGGCCATAACACTGGATCTCGATCCCTCCTTCATCTCATCCAAAGACCCCACACAAGCCCTAATTTCAAAACCCTCCGTCAGGTTTAAAGATCAGCACGGACAACCGACCAAAATAACCATGAAAGCATCATCAACCTTCAGAGACACAAAATCAGAAACAACTCAACAAGCTCATCAATCACTCAAAATCCAACAAATTTAATATATAAATAAATTTTGTTTTATTTTATATTATTTTTTTTTAAAAAAAACAATGGAAACGGAGAACATTCTTACCACGATCACAGCGAAATCTACATCAGTAGACCTGCCAATAAAAGCACGAGAGCTGTATCTAGAGGTCGTGAAACCAGAGCAATGGCGTCCGAAGCAAATCGATTGCAGAGAGAGAGAGAAAGAGAGTTGGGATGAGATTACGGGAGAGAGAGAGAGAGAGAGAGAGAGAGAGGGTGGTACGAGGAAGTTCTACGAGGGAGGTTTTGGTGAGAAATTTTATATACTGTGGGCAGAGTAGGGATCGGAGTAGTAGGGGTGTTGTAGGGTGGGCGGGATTGTAATTTTGACGAATGTGTCTTACCACTACTAATTTTCCCTCCATTTATGCAATTCTCAAAAAATTTCTCCTTTTTGCACCAAAACCGATCTTATTGGACTGGTTTGCGAAGTTAAGCCCCGTTTGGGATCTGTATTTGGCCTAAAATAATTATATAGGGTAAAATAAATTATTTTAATCAAATAAAATAAAATTTTATATTTAATTCACAATTATTTTATTTTTTTATAAAAGTTAAAAAAATTAAAAAATTTATCGTAAACGAAACTTTTTATCGCCGAACTAAAAAAATTAAAAAGTCAAAAAATTAACTCACATCTCAAACAATCCCTTAGTTGGTTTTTAATTTTTTTGATTATTTTAATTTATTTAGATTTAAAATAATTATGTTTAAAAGTTTGTTTTTTTTTTTAAATTAATTTGATGATTGTAAAAGAAAAACTAAAATGATTATGAGTTAAATATGATATTTTATTTTATTAACTATTTTAATTCAAAAATATTGGGGGTGTTTGTTTCAGCTTTTCAGAGTCAACTTATGACTTTTAGCTTTGAAAAAGTTATTTTGGACTGTTTGGTTAAACTTATTTCAAACAGCTTCTGATTCTAACAGCTTATTTTAACTCAAAAAAACTGATTCTGAGAAGCTGCTCACCCCTTGCTTCTGATTATCAGCTTCTGCTGTGGACATGTTAATTTATGGTTATACTCTTAAATTTTTTTTTTTTATTTTTTTAAAAATAGAAAAAGACTCAAATGGACTATAGATTATTATTATTATTATTATTATTTATGAGAAATGTAGACAAACAAAAAATAAAAATTAATTGAAAAAGCTATTTCACAGCTTATTTAACAAACACTACTCAGCAACTTAAATCTATAATCCAACAGTTACACCAAACAGATTAATAACTTCTGATTAAAGTCATAATTTATAATCTGTTAAGCTATAATTTATAAGCTGTTTTAATAGCTACACCAAACGGGGCCATTAGAGACCTCAAAAGATTTATCAAATGTCTCACCTGATCCATATAAGACGTATATTTAGTAAAATTTTTAATAAATTTTTTTAAATCTTTAACATTACTCATTTTAATTTATTTTGTCTTCTAATTAATTATTTTAGCCCAGCCTTTTTTCAAACACTCTCCTTGTGTGGGGAATTGGTGTGGCTGCTGTGTGGGGGTGCACAGCAATCAGCCGTTTACATTTTAAAATATATCAAATTAAATATATTTATAAAAAATTAAATTAATCGGATATCGTTTGTACACGTTCTCATATCAGTTGTTTGTTTCGATTAAATAAAATATATTTATAAAAAATTAAATTAATCGGATATCGTTTGTACACGTTCTCGTGTCAGTTGTTTGTTTCGACCAATCCCTATTGTTCAGAATCTTCAGACAAACAACGACGGCCAACTAGGACCTTCCACGTCTTTTTCGGACATAATATTAATGAAATTTATGTATGTGTAATAAAAAAAGACGGAAAAAATAATACCAATAACATATCTGATAAATACTTCTCCAATCTTTCACTAATTTGTAATTTTTTTAAATTTTTATACTCATGCAATCGTAAGGTCCTTTGGCAACTAAATAGAAATTTAATTTTTAACTTTTTATTCATTTTGGATTATATCATTTCTCACATTTTTTATTCACAAAAAGATAAAATAGACTAAAATAGCCAAAAAAATCATCTTTTTACTAGCTTCCTAAAATGCCGAAAGAATTTATTTTAGAAATTAAAAAAATACAAACAAATGTTATACATTAAGTTTTTACAAATTGAAATTAGATTTACTTTACAACAAGTTTATAAACACAAAATTGATCATAGAATTAATCATATAAAATCATTTTAATCGTATATATCAAATGATGAACACATCAAAATAATGGTTCTATATGAAAATGCTATTCAAAATTATTGATAATTGTGTATTAAAATTATTATGTTTTTATTTTGAAATGAAGTATAAAAAATAAAAATAAAAGTTACTTTTTATTTTTTATTGTACTAAATATTTAAAAACAATATAACACTAGTTCAAAAATGCATTTTTTGTCTTTGAATTTTTTTATAAAAATATAAAAATATTTTAATTTTTAAGTATATTTAGATAAGTACATTTAATTTTTTTTTTTAAATATGAAGAATTAAAATTTAACTCGATACAGAAAAAATAAAAAAAAATCACAAAATAATTTTCAAAAATTAAATCAAACAAAATTTGTATTCCAAAATGGACTACTCCAAACATTTTAAAAAATATATAAATATTATGAATCTAAAACAATTAAGCAATTATGGTTGTAATCTCAAACATTAATCACAAGTCCATATCTTATTCAATAACGAATGACCTTTACAATAGGCGATTTAGGTGCGGTGATCTCAAATGAGAACTCATTTATGGGACATTTATGTGAAAATCAAGTGCTTACTTTCAGAAAATTCAGCACATAAAATTTTTTCAAAATATTAATATATAGAAAATTGTTTGAGACCACTAAAACAATGAGCTCTAATAGCTCTAAAAATACTGTGCCCCTAATTGATTTGATGTTTTGCTCTTTGTTTTTTTTTTTGGAAAATGAGTGAGAGCACTAATTAGTGCTATCACTAATGATGTGGCAGTGAGCCCCACCATAAATGATTTGATATTTTGGCCTTGGTGTTGTATTTTTTTTTCTTTTTTTATTGAGTGCCATGTCATTAGTGGTCTTTTTAGAGCTCCAAAATTAGTGATCTCTATCATTGTTGTTTTTTTTTTTCTTTTTTTTTTCTGGACTGCCAGCTCATTAAAGCTGGCTTAGTGGTCCATTTTTAGTGGGATCTATCACCACTGTATATATTGTTATACAAATTGTTATTTGGTATATCATTTGCTAAAACTGCATGTTTTAAAAAATTATCAAAGCCAAATTTCTTCAAATTTAAAATTGTATTTTTCAAACAAGGTTCCAATGAATTTAATAATAAATTAATTAAAATTATAACTTAAAAACATCATCATATGTTAAAAATATAACCTACAGAATCATCACACAATCAACTACATAATAAGTGCAATAACTGGATAGAATGATATATTTTATGCAAAGCAAACCATTTTTTGTTGGACTTCAATAGATAAGCATACCCAACGAGCCACCCTTCCACCAATGGCAAGCCAAATTAAGTCTTTGTGATTTCAGCCTCCTGCTGGCACAGAAGTGATCAACAATTGGCCATGAGATCACTGCCACAACCACCATCATCATCATTACCAAAGTTGCTCGCAATTTTTTTATTTATAAAAAACACATTTTATATGAAAATATTTTTTTACTAATAAAATAGACTATTTTAATAATTTTTTTATTTTTAACTAAAATATAAAATAAAAATAATAATATAGTTAGAATGACCTTTTAATTTTTTTACAAAAAATTTATGCAAAAAAACTTTTTTATATAAGTTATAATCTTTTTAATTTTTAAAACTAAAAATATTGCACACAGACCTAAGAGTGTCAATCAGATTCCAAAAAGGATACACCATTGGCCAGCTTTAGATGAAAAATGCTTCACGTCAAAGACAAAAATACACCATTAGCCAGTTTTTTCAAACGTGCAGGTTTGCAACTCCTCCAAATATTGCAGATTGCCAACATAAAAAGCCCCATTTAACTTCAGACCTCAAAAGATCTACAACATGAATGACTCGTCATTGAAATACATGGAATTAGACTGAATTCTGGTAGGAACAAAATTTCTTAGTAGTAAAATTGATTGAAAGAGAGATTCATACATGCCAAAGTTTTAATTAAGCACCAAAAAAACTGAACCATAATCCAAAAATTACAGAATAACTATATGAAGAAAGCTGCTGCGTAAGACCATTCTTCGCTTTTGCTTCCGGCATGCAATAACCACAAAATCCACATCTCATTTCTTCTTCCCAGCCTTTGCAGCATCTCCAGCCTTGGTCTGCACATTGTGTAACAATGAGAGAGAGAGAGAGAGAGTGAGAGAGAGATTGACCAGTGTACGTGTACCCAGAGGCCAAGATAAGCAATTTCCTTACCTTCTTTACACCACGGATCTTCTTGGTCCTGTTCTTCCTTTCCTTCAATTGCTTCCTTGACTTCTCCACCTTTGTGTCCAGGCCATTCTGCGAAGGAGAAATAGACATGAAATAAATACACTATAAAGAAAATGAAAAATTTTTCAAGATAAATTCCATATGCTCACTTTCTTACTCTTATCATAATAACAAAAGAATACATAGGAAACCTCAATATGACTCGATACTGCCATGTACTCACAAAAACAAACATATTCACTTGAGTGATTTACATAAAATCCATTCTTTATAGTTCATACTCAGAGCTTAACACAAGCATGCATACAGGATTGAGTATTTTGCATAAATACTTTCTAGATCCCAATTATTCCTTAAATGCAAATGTGTACCAAACTGATCAGGACCATTTGAACACTCAAACATCAAGGTTGAATTCCAGACCAATAAAAATCATCTAACCAATATACAGGAATTCCCAAGCACAAGTAGTCAAGATCTCAATATCTTTAGAAATAATTTAGAAAATAAAGGACATAATGTATTGAGTTCTCTTAAAAAAGTCTATAAAGCCATTAGAGATGAATATGACTATTTGACCCATTTTAGCATTGCAGGTGGATCAAATAGTACACAGAACAATTGAAGTTTGCTTCTAAACATCACAATTTTGAACTCAAGATACATTTAAACATTTTAGAATTCAGGTGGATCAAAAATGTGCCATCATTAATCCTCTATGCAAATAAAGCTTATCATCTTATTCTCATGTTGTGATTGAATTCTTCACTGAATTCAAACATAATCAACGTTTTAATGAGAATTACTGTACTGCACTGCACTGCACTGCACTGGGTCAAATAAGAGAAGTAGACAAAAATTCAACAGCATGATTGATACTAAAAGAGATACTGAATAAATGAATCTAAAACGAAACCCATACATACCGAAGCAAC